CTGGGGGGGCTCTGGGAGGCAGGGGGGCGCCCTCCCCTCCCCTCCCCACCGGCGGGACTGCCCGCGGAGCGCCCTGTGCACCGTCCAACAGGTCATTCCTGGCTCAGCTCCTCCTGCCCGGTGCTGTGTCCCTGTCCCTGGCTCCGGCGCTCCCTTCCCGGGCTGGCGGGGGTAGCATGTGCGGCGGGGGCCATGGCTGCCTTCGGGAAGCTGACCGAGTACTTCAGCCTCAGGAAGTCCAGGACGGAGCTGCGCTCCAGGCAGCGGAGCCGGCGGAGCGGGAGCTGCTGCTGTAGTGTCACTGAGTGCAGGTATGGGGTGGCAGTGGCCTGTCTGTCCTCGTGCCTCCGTTGTGTGCCTGGGAGGCTGCCAGGTGGGAGGTGCAGTTCGTGGTGTTCTGCTTTCTCTTCCCTCTCCTGAGCATGCCAGGAGCTCTGGAGGCATCACCTGGGTCTTGTCTGGGGCTCCCAAGCAGCTCGTTGCTGCAGGATGTCTCTGGCAGGCTCTGTTCCCTGGCATCCATCTCCCTGCCCAGGGCACGTCCCAGAGCTGCCACAGTCCCTCTCAGGTGGCTGCCTGCACGTGTACCTGCTGTCTGTGCTGTGCTGCCTCCATGTTACTGTGGAGAGGTTATTGTGCCTCAACTGCCCTTCCCTCCCTCTGCTCCTCATGCTGTAACTTCCCTGGCTGCACAGGAAGCCAGAGGTGGCTTCCCAGGTGGAGCTGACAGCACCTGGGAGCATGGGGCTGGTGGAGCCTCCTGGCATGAAGCGGCCAGGGAGGATGAGGGGGGTCTCTCACTGTGCTTGGGTGCAATGGTGAGGGGGCTCCTGTTGGCCAACAGGTTCACCCTTGGCTCCTTGGGGTGTGGATTGCCAAGGGGATCGTGCTGGGGAGTGGTGGCACTGGGCTGACTGGATGCTCTCTGGGATCACTGGAGTGCTTGGGGGCACAGCAGGGGCAGCAAGGGCAAGCCCAGCACTGGGGTGTGGGGGCTGCCTTATTTTGCAAGGTAAACACAGTTAATGCTATTAAGAAAATTCCTCTGTGCCTCGGTGGCTTGTCTCTCCTTGGAGTATTACAAGCAGCTTGTAGGATGTGACGAGCTCTTGATGCTGCTCTGGGCTTTTTCCCCTCTCTGAGGGCTGGTGGTGAGGCAGAGGGTGACCAGCCCGAGCAGTGGATGTCCCCACATCCTCCCGCTGACCTGCACGTGGTGCCTCCCCACTTCTGGAGGGGTCCTGACCTCTCTGTGGAGCAAGGGAGGAGGTGCTTCTGGGGCTCTTCACTCTCTCAATCCCCCATATACAGGATGCTTCTTCAGTCCTGAACCTTGTGTTTTTGGGGGAAATTGGGTGGTTTCCTGTCCAAAGGGTGATATCATGGTGCCTTCCTAACTCCAGGGCATGAGCCACAAAAGTGGCCTTGCTGGGGTGTAGTTCATGTATGAAATTTTCCAGGGGGATACTGGGCATGTTTGAGAGCTCCTCTTGCATGGAGTGTGGCTTCACCACACATCAGTCACGGCCCCTGGGGCTGCTGCCTGTTGAAGCTCTGCTCTGTGTGGGGCTGGTGGATGTGGTTCCCCCAAGCAGGAGTTTCTCCCTGTGCCCCAAAGGTCCGGTGAGGCTGAGCTCTAGATGATGGGAGCTGTTCTCTCCCTGTCCCTTCACTTGTGTTGCCCCTTGTGCCATGAAGCTGCTCCCCTGGACCGGGTCTGAGCACGTAGGGTGCTCCTGGTGCCCCCAACTTCCCCATCAGGGGGGCTCAAGTGCACCTGCAGATACTGAGCCCGTTTTCTTGATTGCACACGGTTGATTATGGAAGTAAAAATAAGTGTTGACTGAAGCATGAGACGCTTTTGAAATCAGTGTCACTTTTCACCTGAGCTGCTTGAGATTTTGTCTGTTTTTATCCCTCCATGTCTGTACACTGAGATATTCCAGCTGAGACCCCTGACCCAAGCTGAACTGGCTCCTGGCAGCCAGAAAGCTGAACGCTTCGTGGCTGGGAGCTGAAAGCAAAAAAACAAAAGGCATCTGCTGCCCTGTCTGACCCTGTCCTTTCTCTAGACAGTGCCTTTTCTAGCTCTGCTGATCAGCTTTCTGGGTTTACTTCATTTCTTCATGCTAATGAGGGTAAATGAAATGAGGAAATAAGATGCTCAGACCCCATGTTTCCATGTGTGTGTAAGTAGTGGAGATGCTGCACCCCAGGCTGAGCAGTGTGATGTCTAATGGACCCTCCTGGAGCCCTGCCCAGGCCCTCGTGTGCCTCAGGGCAGCTGGGTCCTGCTGCACTTGCCAAAGACACGTAGTCCCCTGGGACCAGAACAAGCAAACACAGGGAGCTCTGCTGTGGGGGATGCACTAACTGGAGTGATTAAAGTCTAAATATAGTGGTCCCACACATCCTCATAGGATCTATCAGATATTAGCAGGTGTGTAGTTATGGTCTGAAGTGATGTGCCTGCATTTTTAAGCTACGCCTCCAGATACAGCAGAGCCTCTGAGGTGGGTTGAGTAAATCTGCTGGATTTGGGAATTTGTGGGCTCAAAGTTGTGCACAGGAGAGGGGCCTAGTGATAGCATCATCTCTCCCCATCTTCTGGTGCCATTGGCCAAACACGATGGTTGCAGGAGCTCTTCAGCCTCTAATGTGCCCCGAGCTCTGTCCTCGTTCACACCTTCCTGTCCTCTCAGCTGCAGGCTTTTCCACCCTGAGCCTTGCCAGCTGTGCTCAGCAGGAGGATGGATGCTCTGCTGCGGGGCTGGAGTACAGCTGCTCCAGGTTATGAAATCAGTTGGATCTCCAGGGGTCGAGAGGCTCCAGGCATGACAAGCTGGGGATCAGTGTCCCTGTTGTGCAGCTTCTGCTGGTGGCAGCGCCTGAGCACAAACACACCAGCCGGAGCCAAGCTCAGGAAAGCCTGTAAGTGATTTCTTTGCAGTAACTTTTTTCAGTCTAGTAGAAAGGTTGATGGATGAGCCAAATGTTCACCTTGACTGGTGCTGCAGCTGTACTGCTTCGTGCAGGATGAACACCCAGATCATGGCAGGGGTGGATGACTCTGCAGCTCAGAGGCTGCAGCGCTGGGTGCAAGTGCCTGCGGGGAGAGACTGGGAGTGCTTGCTGAGGCTTGAGGGGTTTGTCCTCTCTTTTATCTTATGGTACCAGCCTTCAGTAGCTCATGCCCAGCTCTCTGCATGTTGGCAGGATGGGTGGAGAGAATCTGCTTCTGGCACAGAGGGGTAATGAAAGGAAAAGACAGGTTATGCAAAATGGATCATCTATTAGTGAGCTATTTTAGAACCAAAAGGGCTGGACAGCTGATTGTGTGTTCCTGCAGCTTTTGGAATTGGATCAGAAAATCAAAGGGCTGAGAAAATGGCCTTGCTCTGCTGTGAGTGTGCTGGGTGAAGCTGCAGGGTGGAATGAGGTTTTTGGAAGCAGGTTGGCACGTTCCTAGGTGGCTGGTTTCAGCCAAGGCTGCAGAGCAGTGAGTTGCCTGGCAAAATCCTGGGCTGAGGTCCTGGGTGCTTGCAGCTGTCATGGGAGGGTGAGGGTCTGGTGTCATCTGACAGAGTTAACAGTTTTTGGTGAATTTCTTAAGGAGACTCCTAGTGTTGGTCTCAACCTGAATGCAGTGTGGGCAAGGAGAACATCAGTCCTTTTGTGAGAGCTGTGACCTGCAGCAATAACAAAGGGCACTTCATTAAAAATCCCAGATACTGTCCAGGGGCATTTTTTTCTCTAGGCAGGAATTTGGAGGCAATTTCATTTAGAGGCTTTGTCTCTTGACCCAGTAGTGTTTTGGGATAGATCTGCTCACTGGGCTTCAGGAGGTTGATGCATGTTCTCTCTTTGATAGCTGTCACCTCTCCCCTTCTCCGTGGTTCCCAGAGTCCCGTTCGGACCCCACAGAGGAGCTTTAATGTGCTTGTCTGGAGATCACTGCCTGGTTGTGGGAACTGAGATCTTCAGAATGGGGGAAGGAGAAGGAGAGATTTGTGCCTGGTCTTGGATCAGTCTCCTAGGGGAGACTTTCAGTCTTGGAGGCAGCAGAACTGAAGACCCATAAAATTCTGGGGGTAAAGAGCCTACATCCTCAGTGGGCTCCAGGAGAGGAGCTTTTCCCTGGCTTGGGGGATGCAGTGGAGTGACCTGTGGTGAAACCCAGGGAACCTGAGCTTGGGAATCGAGGATGAGAAGTGTTTGGCTTTTGCTGAACTGGGGAGCAGGCAGGCAGGGTGTTTGATTTAGAGTCTCAGTGCCTTTTTTCTCAATACCTGAATTGATGTTGGAAGTTGATGTTAGTTAGCAATGAATTAAATTATGTCCAAATTAAATTACATAGCAATTCCAACTTGCCTGGCCTGTTTTCCCCATGTCATTAGGTAATCTTCAGGGATGGTGCTCCAGGTGATGCTCCACCTCTGTAGTTGCAGGGGGAGCAGAGCTGGGTCCAGGTGTCCCTGCTGCTGTGGCAGTCAGAGGCTGTCCCAGGCCTTGTGGGAAGATCTACCCAGGAGCTGCTCTTTGCAATGGGGCCCTGTGACCTCCCTTCCTTTGGAGGTGTTTTCCACACTGGTATCCTGACCCACGTGCTGTGTATTTTGGGCTTTGAGGTGGTTAAGCAGGGTGGGCAATGTTTTGTTGTGTTGTTTTTTTTTTTTGCAGGATTGTGCTTAGTTATTTTTTGGCTGTTTAAAAATATCTCTTCAGCTCTGGCAGCACGTCTGTGCTCAAGCACACGGTCGTGATGGGGAAGAGGAGGAACTGGCAAGTTTTGGGGCTGGAAAACTGCACTGAAGGAACAGATCCTGTGTTAGCTGCACAGAGAATGAGACAGACTGAAAGGGCTGTATCTTTCACCTCAGTTGTACAGCAGAGCCTTGCAGGGGTCCCCGTCACCGCAGTCTCACTGCATCGAGTGTCCTCCTGGGGTACTTCAGTGGCACTGAGTTGCCTGAAATCACATGGGACATGGTGCTGGGGACGTAGCCCACTCCTTCCAGTCCCAATACGGGGGTTTAGTTGATGCTGGCTGTTCTAAACACGTGTAGGAGCTGAGAGCAGGCAGGATGTGGCAAGAAGCCCCGCGGATGCGCGGAGCGGAGGGGCAGTGCCCGGAGCTCCGGGGGAGCCTCCATCCATCTGCCAGCCTTGGCAGTGCTTGGGGGTGTCACCTGCCACCTGCAGCATTTAGTCTTGCATATGTGCAGGGACCATTTTTCCCAGGTTCTGTGTCCTGCAGCTTGAGCTGAGTCAGAGGCTTTTAACACGGGTTTTGAAACCCACCCGTGAAGGG